ACGCAGTACATTCTCGCTATGTCAATATAAAATCAAACCCAAATGAAACAAAACAAGAAGAGCTAATGTGAGAGGGCTCTTGGTTCACCTATGAATAGTGACTGATGGGGATGCAGAGAGTGCAGCCAAACAGGTCGAAGAATGAGCAGCAGAGAGTACAGTTTGTGTAGGTTGTCACAGCTCCAAAAGAAAATTTGGTTTGTCTATTATAGGCAAAAACAGGGTCAGCTAATTGGTCTGTAGCAGTAGTTCAGCTCCTGGGATTTTGGATCCCAGTCTAATAATAACAACAACTATAATAAATGTAAAACACTTTTCTGTTTACATGCTCAAAGCATTACCAGTATAGTCCAGAAATTTATCAAAACAAAATTCAGGCACCCGAGAAAGTCACCAGTGTTTCCTAGGGCCTGTGTAGCATTAGAAACCTACACCTGCTATATCAAGATAGATAATATTTTCTGTTTTCTGATCAGAGAAAAAAAGGTTTTTGACACAAAATGCATACCTGTCAGTTTTGGATACAGGTATAATTTTCTGATAACCGACTGGAACAAATTTAAAGTTTATCTTAAAAACTGTTGTAATTTGGAAAATTAGAGGATCAGGGTAATAAGAGATAAAGAACTACAGTTGTTTTATTATCTTATGGAAGTTAAATTTACGAAATAGAAATAAGTTTAATATGAAAGGGTTGCTGAAAAATCTTGAAACAAGAATGCAGAAAAGGGGTGGTACGGGGAAGTCGGTTTTGTGTTTATCTATGTTTTTGCTTTGTTTTCTTTTTTACTTATGGAAAATCAATAAAAATTTATTTAAAAAAAAAAAAATTCTGATAACCAAGTCTTTAGTTCCACCCAGCATCATAAACATAACTGCCAGTATACAGTTGTAACTTCCAGAGCCGTGTTAGGCTGTTGCATCAAAAAGTAACACATTTATTAAGGCATAAGCTGAACCTTTCTTCAATACTGAGGACAGGATAATATCTTCCATTGCACCTGAGGGCAGGAGGCTAATTTAGGAGGGCCAGGACAGACTGTATGGCATGCACAGCTCTGTCCTCCGTCAGAGGGTAATGGCTGGGAGGCTCAGAGGGATGCTACTGCTGTCTCCCCAGCATCTGCCACCTGAAGGAGTCACCCCATTCTGCCTAGTGTTAGGGCTGGCTCTGGCATATAGAAAGATTAAAAAAAGAAATACAGCAAAACTACATGCTTGACTATGAATAAACTTGTGGTTAATTCATGTTAAGTGATCTAGAGTGTGCCCTGGATAAGTGATTCATCTAGTAACTACTCAGGCTGAGCTGGGTATCCTCTGTTGTTCACACATACTATCAGCCTGGCTTATCCTCTTAGCTGAATCCTGCAGATATCCAGCACTAATTCACCCTTAAACACAGGCTTGTTGAAATTCTAAATGAAGAATAGGCAGATTATCTGCCCTGCTGGCTGCTTTTAAATGCTGAGGGACCTTGCAGAGAACTGCTGAATGTGCACATTTACAAAGGGCAGCCCTCTTCCGGTCCCACCCCCCTTGCTACACACAGTTTAAAAATTTGTTGGCCAAATTGCTTGATTTTGATTTTGGCCTTTCCCCCTTCTCAACAGATTTCATCACACCAATTGTGGATTTTGGATCAGTAGGACTTTGTGTGCTCCCTCCCCTGACCAAAAAGACAGTTTCAAAGTAAAAGTAAAAACTGAGGATATGCATTTGATCCTGGTTGCAAAGGGAGGACCCTTAAAATAACCAGATCATCTTGTTATTGCTATGTATCTCCTGGTCTCTGCACTTGGTTTCTTTACATCTCAGTGCCTTGTATGCTGCTTGGGAAAAGATGGGTGCAAGGCAGTGGAATGTGGAAGAAGAAAAAGAATCAAGCACCGCAATCAAAAGTTGCTTTTCCCCTCTAATGTGGTCTAGCATGATTGTGATACCAAGACAATGTCCCTGTTTGTCTGGGCATATAGCAACATAGCAGCCTATGCCTGGGCCTTAAGGATGGTTGCAGAGGTCCTGCTCATACAACCAAAGTCAGATGAGGCACAAGTGATAAGGTCTTTTCAGTGGTAGCCCCACATTTGTGGTACTTCATCCTGTTTGGCTCCTCTTTCTCTCTGATTTTAAGAGCACGCTGCTGTATCAAGCCTCAGTCCCATCTAGTTCAACACTCTGTTCTCTCAGTGGCCAACCAGCTGCCCATGACCCTTAAAGGCCTTTTTACTTAGATTTAAATAAGTTAGACCTGATATATAGATACACTTAAAGATGTTGTGCTGGGTTTTAAATTGTTGCTGGTTTTGTCTGATAATTTTTTACCTAGATTGCTGCACTGAATCGGGGTGTGTTTTATGCTTCTAGATTCGCATTTGCCGGAGTCCTGTTCTGGACATGGAACAGATAAGGGCAATTTGGGGTAAGGGGAACTGGGAAAATGCCTTCCCATTTCCATTGGAATACTCAAACATCCCTAGCAGGAGATGGGAAGAGCTGCTATCTGAGATCCTGGACAGCTACTGTCAAACAATACAGACTAGATGGATGAATAGTCTGCTCAGGTATAAAGCAGCTTCCAGCATCTAGTTTGCATCAAAGGACCTGGAGAAATTGCTGCAGGATTTAAGTAGAGTGTGGAATTTCAAGTGGGATACCTGGTGAAGGGACCTAGGAGATTAGAAGAAGACACTTTGCCTGCCTTAGCCCATTTTTCCATTCAGTGAGATATAGCCTGGTGAACAGAGCACCTTTCCTCCCCTGCTTGTCCCAGTGCACACCTGCTGCTATATTAGGCCTTAACAGGGAAGAGACCGTTTCTCCCTGAAGCGTGCCAGCACAGAGCATGGAATGGAAATAAGCAGGGGGCCTTTGGGGGCAGAGGCTCCCTGGAGGCACCAGACTCTTGTTTGTGCCTTTCAGAAAATGCTGAGCTCATTGCCCCAGAGACAGCAGCTCGCAAGCCCAGATTTCTGTCATGTTCAGGTACAAGAAGCACAGGCTAATGAAAGCCAAAGATTTAGGGCTGCTTTGTACAGGCCAACAACCACCCCCAGGTCACTCCTCACCTATCCCTGAGTACCAGGTAAAGGTAAAGGATCCCTGGACAGTTAAGTCCAGTTGAATTGGACTGTGGGGAACAGTGCTCATCTCTGCTTTCAGGCCGAAGGAGCCGGCATTTGTCTGCAGAGTTTTTCCAGGTCATGTGGCCAGCGTGACTAAACCGCTTCTGGCACACAGAACACCTTGACAAGTGTCGGGGCACAGCACTGCATTGGCACACTCCTGCTACAACTCAGCAACCACTGCAGCTCTTAAAATCCTTCAACCAACATTGTGGAAAGCACAGGGATGAAGCTTTGGAGGCTTGACATTATGCAACCCATTTATCTAGCAGAATATAAGAGCCCTGCTGGATCAGGCCAAAGGCCCATCTTGTCCTGCATCCTGTTCTTGCAGTGACCAATCTGATGCCTTTGGGAAACCTTAAAGCAGGACAAAATGCAACAGCACTTTCCTCACTTGTGACAATCACAGGCACCTTGCCTCCAACAGTGGAGGTAAAACACAGTGATCATGGCTAGTAGCCCATAGCCATTGACATTAATATGCCCAATCCTTTTTTAAAGTCACCCACAGCAATTACATTGGCGACCAATGTTGCTTCCTGTAGGAGCCATTTCCAGTTTAACTATGTGCTGTTACTTTCTTTTGTCTGCCTTAATCTTCAGCTTCATTTGATGTCCATAAGTTCTAGCGTTAGGGGAGAGGGAGAAAAACTTGCCTCTCTCACTGCCATGCATATACCTTTCTCCTCTTCTGTCATGGGCTACTGGACTTTATTTCAGTGCACAGTCCTGTATCTGAAATGCAGGAACCAAGTAGTGGAAGCGTCTGACATGGACTGAAGTTTCCTCCATCATTCTAACCATAACGTTTAACTTCTGTTTCCCACCTCCTCAACATAGCCCAACCATCTTTAGGTATCATCAACAGGAGAAAGGCCCAGGGGGGTAAAACAGCAACAATTTCCCGTGCAGAATCTGTGCCTCAAATGATTAAAGTAGTTTAGAGGATCTGGCCTGAGCAGAAGCTGACTGTCCAATCCAGCTAGGATTTGGCCCATTCAAGAAAAATAACAAAAGAACGAGACATTTGAAAACTGAATAATGAGCAAGATCTGTGCCATAGCGGCGGATGTTTGCCCCAAGGTTAGAAGCAGCCATTGTACCTGCATGCCCTGGGCATGCGGCAAATGCGTAGAGGGTGCCAGGAGATGTATCAGAACTGCAGCCACGCTGTGGAAGGGCATAATTGGGCTAGAAAGAGAGGTGGGTGTCGAGGGCTCAGGAGAGGCTTTAAGCAAAAAGGCAGATTAATTACATTATGGGCAAGCAGCGCTGGGAACACAGAGCTGAAATCCAAGCAAAGCCGTTAATACCCTTAATGGGGGGAAACATGTGCCAGTTAGCACACCCTCTCTCCCCCCCTCCCACTCCCCCCATCCAACACCAGAATGCATATATCCAGTGTCCTATAGCTGCAGACACACCACAGAGTTAAAGCACACACCTGGCTCCAACAACCCTGGGCACTGGAGTTTGTTAAAGGGTGCGAGGAATTGCAGGCAAACTGTGAGGGGTGTACTACGGTTCCCAGGATTCTTGGGAAGAAGCCGCGTACTTTATAAAGGACTGGCACTCAGAAGCAAGATTGCTACTAGCACATATAAGGAGGATGGTGTGCCTGAACAATAAAAACTTTTGGAGGTTTGATATCCTTGGAACAAAAGTGTATTTTTTTTAAAAAGGCCAAGGAAGACAGCTCTCACTCCAGGAGGCATGGGGACCCCTTATGTTGCAGTTCTCTGAGCTCATTTACCCCCAAACGCTGACTTCTTCCAAGTGTGATCTGGATCACAAGACACGACAGGCAGAAAGGCTCCCGGCAGCGGCAGCACCCTGCAGGAACGGCAAAGCCACCACACAGGACAAGGCAAGAGAAATGTAAAAGTGCCTTTTAATATAAATATATAGATACATTTGAACAGCTGACACCAGCAAAAAGGGTACATTGCGTACACATTTGTCGTTCCACGTCTTGGCCAACAGATACCTGTGTGCTGGGAACAGAGGAGATCTCTGAACTGAGACTGGGCTGCACAGGCAAGACACCCCCTTTAGGAAAGTGCTCTCCAGCCAAATGGGACAAAACACGCCTACCTCCAAAAAGCCCCTCTCCACAAGGAAAAGAATAGTGCAGAAGTATATTCAGGATATGACCTTGTGAATTGCAAGAGCATATACTACACCTTCCCCAACCTGGTGCCCTCCGGCTGTTTTGGACCACAACTCCCATCAGGGCTGATGGCATCGTCACCCCTAAATATCTGGAGAGCACGAGGTTGAGGAAGGCTGCCACAGACCCCTTCTCACTGGCAAAAGAGTTGATGGAGGGTGCTCCGTTTATCATCAGATCCAAACCAGCTCCCCTGCCAGCTGATCCTGGTGGGTGGAAAGCATGTCTGGAAGGGCACTGGGCTGGGAAATGACCTACCCATGGGGAAATGCTGTACTTTGGAGGCTTAAGATGTCAAAAACCCTGCAGAGAAGTAGACAGCAGATGAAACTTAAGTGACTGCTGTTATCCATGCAAAGGGTAACCTGGAGGGCTTGGACTTCTAGGGCAGAGAATTATATAATTGCCAGATAAATATACTGCAGCACCCACCTGCAGCCAGTCTATACTGGCAGCACCCACCTGCAGCCAGTCTATACTTGGACTAAGGTGTCCAAGCTCACCGGCAACAGCTGTGCTCCCACTCAACCAGGTACACAGAGTGCTGCAGGACGGGGGAAGGCTAGGACAAGAGTGCTGATGTCATGTCACATCCACACACACTACCTTTGGCACTCTCAGGGACACTAGTCACTCGGCAAGGATGCTGTAAGCAGCTGGATGTACTGATGACTTTCTTACTGGAATAAGGAAGCAAGGAGGCGGTGGCTTTGAGATATTACCCCTAGGCAGAGTTTCTTGGGTGGTACAGGATGGGGAAGGACCATGGCTCAGTGGGCGAGCATCTGCTTTGCATGCAGAAGGTCCCAGGTTCCATCCTCAGCATCTCCAGTGAGGGCTGAGGGAGACTTCCTAGCTGAAACCCCGGCGAGCTGCTGCCAGTCAGTGTGGGCAATAATGAGCTAGATGGACCAATAGTACAAGGCAGCTTCCTATGTTCCTAGCATGAAGGGCTGGGGAGCAATGGAGACGGACACAAGGGGCAGTGTAGGCAGGAGGACAGGGCACTAGAGCTGCCGCAAAGTGCCGGCTGGTAAAAGTAGGGCACACAGGGACAGGAAGAGCACCATTAGCCCAACCCAGCCTCTTGGAGCAGGGCAAGACACAAGGCAGGCAAGCCCATGGCATCCTGCCTCTTCCACCCAGTGGGCCTTGTGCCCCCGTCATCAGGACACGCGGAGCACCGCTGCCGACTGCCAGGCCCGATCCCAATTTCCCTGGCAGGCAGCAGTGCTGGGCCACTGGTCTGCACTGTGGTGGACAGGAGGGAGGGAAGCCTCCCACTGCTCCCTAGCTAGGCAAAGGGCACCAAAGCCAAGAGAGCCACAAGAGTCAGGCTGCCCACAAAGCTGGGCCGAGGCAGCCAGGCTTCCCCCCGCAAGGTCTCCTTGTTGGTCTCATCCATATCCGAAGCCCTCCCGCTGCCGGCCAGCTGGGCCCGTGAGCTGCAGAGGTCGTGAAGGTTGCCTTGGAACTGGATCTTCCGGGACTCCTGCCGAAGCGACTCCCAGATTTTCGCTGCCTCCTCGGGGCACCTGGACAGAACCTGGGTGGCACAGGTGTGGAAGTCATCCCAGGACCTGCAAGAAGAGGAATCCTCATGAGGAGCAAGCAAGGCACCCCTCAGAAGCAGAAGCAGCAGCAGGGGAGCTTCAGCTAGGCCTGAGGTGAGGAAGCGGTGGGCCCCCGGATGTGGCTGGGACACCAACCCCAATCAGCCCCAGCCAGAATGGTGAATGGCATCCTTTGCCAACCTGGTGGACTCCAGGTGTTCTGGATGACAACTCTTATCAGCCCAGCCTGGCTGTTGGGCACCTGGTTGGCTTAACCACATAGCTGATGGCTACAGACCTATGACTACAGTCGCTCTGCAGCAATCTTTAAAAACCACTGAGAGTCTGTGTGGGGTAGTGATTAGACTGCTGAGCTAAGACTGAAAGGAGCCAGGTTCAAACCCCACTGAGCCATGATGTTGATTGGTTGATCCTGCTTGTGTATTTCCAATGGGCATCTAGCTGGCTACTGTAGGAACAGGATGCTGAACTACATGGGTCTTTGATCAAGCAGGGGTAGAAGAAGAGCCATAATGGATCAAAGCAAAGGCCTACCTGGTCCAGCAGGCAACTAGATGCATATGAGAAGCCCACAAGCAGGTCAAGAGGGCAACAGTTGTCTCCTGCTGTTGTTTCCCAGTAACTGGTGTTCTTCCTCTGAGGTTCTATATACCGACCGCCATAGCCTAGCTGTGATGTCAAATGGCTGCAGTGTGGCATCCAGCCTCAGAGAGCTACAATTCCCAGAGTGGCTTAACAATCCATCCCTCTTCCCAGGGAACTCTGGGAATTGTAGCTCTGAGAGGAGAACAGAGGGGCTCCTGTCAGCTCTCAGCACCCTTAGCAAACTACCGTTCCCAGGATTCTTTGCGGGGGGGGGGAATTATGACTCTTAAAGGCGGCATGATACAGCTTTAAATGAATTGTGTAGATGTGGCCATAGTATTATGTTCTATAAGGCAGCTGTCTGCCGTGACCCACTATGGGCATTCTTATCTACAGATATTTGGGAGAAGGATCCTGTACTCACTTGCAGATGATGTCCAGCTCCTGCTGCTCCTGGATGCTATCGTCATCCGGCTGCTGCTCCTGCTGTGCACTTTGAGCCATGCTGTCCCCAAGGCTGATGAGGCACTCAGCAAAACCTTTGTAGATGGTGTTACACTTACTGCCGGCCACACTCACCGGCTCCTCGGACAGAACTGTAGAGGGAAACAAGCAACACTCAGCTTGTATCATCTCCAACACAGAGGGGCAACCTGTGTCCCCAAGGGTCACGTACGGCTCGTACTTCGGTTCATGTGGCCTTCAGCATAGCCTGAAGCCACCTTGGTCCATCTCATCAGGCTTCCTCCCTTCCTTGCTATGCATTTCCTCCTTATTTTTTTCTGGCTTTTAAAAACATTTTCCCGATATTTCTATGTACTTTTGGAAGAAGTGGGAAGGGTGGCATGTTCCTTAGTACAAAATAATTAGACATTTTGTTTTGGATTCTGCCCCTCAGTTTCATTGGTTTCCCCCCCAAACTGTGAGAAAACAAATTTGCAGACTTTAGTCACGTTAAGTGTGCACATCTGTGCATTTTACATATAACACTAAAGTGAGAGTGGAGTTCTTGTAATAAGAATAAGAAAATGCTAAAGACTACCTGTCATAACAAGGATTGGTTAACTTTACAATATAGTCAGCAAATGCTCATCTTAGAAAACCTCCTAAATATGGAAAGTCTGAAAAACAGGCAAATCTAATTAAATTGGTCTGGTCAAATTGATTCAAAGCCAGATGACAAATCAGCTTTAAAAACCTTCTTTAAATCACTAGACAGACCTCATAGTGCACCCATACTGGTTTAAAATATATATAGGTGCCAGTACCAGCAGTCACAGTAATTCTGACCTTGCTGCCGTCGGGACCTCTTGTTAAGATGCTAGTCTGATGGCACCCACACAGACACCCTCCATTAAAGCTGACTTGGACCAGTCTTGGCTGGGAGACACTTACCTACTCAAGGCTGACAGAGAAAACACAGTAAGATGTCCGCAAAGTAGAAAAAATGATTAATATTTTAAGTGAGCTGGCCTAGTTCAGTCTGATCAAAACACATCCTTAGGCTGCCTCACTCCTCTGAACACACCAGCAGGAAAAGGAACAGCCAGAAGATTTGAACAGCAAAGCTGACGAAGATGGGATTCCCCTCGGAACTGGCAGGGGAGCCCCCAAGAAGCTGATTAGCAAACTCTGAAACTGCTCTCATCTCTGATGACCTCTGGCCTAGGCAGATGTAATGGGAACAGGCTGAATCAGGTCCAGAATGACAAAGGCCTCCAGTCCCCATCTGCACTATACATTTTTAAAGCAGTATCGTACCACTTTGAACAGTTGTGGCTTCCCCAAAGGAATGCTGGGAACTGTAGTTTGTTAAGGGTGCTGAGGGTGGTTAGGAGATATATATTCCCCTCACAAAGCTATAATTTCTAGAGTTCCTTGGGAAGGGGGACCGATTGTTAAACCACCCTGAGAATTATTCAGAACTTTATTTTTTTGTTTGTGTGCAAGTACTAGGAGTGTGTTATCTGCCTATAGAAGGGCAGTAGGTTAAAGGACAGAGGGCAGTTGTCTGGGGCAAAGTGCAGAAAATCAATAGAAGGTTCAGCACCCCAAGGATCTCCACTTTCATTTTAACAAAAGAAGTTTCTAGTCCTTAAGTTGTGGAGTTATGCTCAGGAGTGTGGGGGCCATGCCTCATGAAGCCTGAAAAGCCAGAAAGAGAAGCAAGCCAACCTGTACAGTGGTACCTCAGGTTACATACGCTTCAGGTTACATATGCTTCAGGTTACAGACTCCGCTAACCCAGAAATAGTACCTCGGGTTAAGAACTTTGCTTCAGGATGAGAACAGAAATCGTGCTCTGGCGGCGCAGCAGCAGCAGGAGGCCCCATTAGCTAAAGTGGTGCTTCAGGTTAAGAACAGTTTCAGGTTAAAATGGACCTCCAAAACGAATTAAGTACTTAACCCGAGGTACCACTGTATTTGCAATAACAAAGAACTGGGATCTAGTGCCCTGCATACATTCTTGCCCTCCTGCCATTACCGCTATGTCACCAGTAGTGCAACAACTACAGGCACATCTCAGCCAAACAGCAGCCAGGCATCTTCCCATGCTGCCCAATGGGACCAAGCACAGGGATGTAGGTGAAGAGCATATTTCGGACAAAAAGCAATTCACATGCTACGTTATATCACTTGTACAGAGTGATAGAAACCTCAAGGGCTAGTAACCCATGTCTTCGTTTTAAATGCAAGATGCTCATGTCATGATTCTTAAAAGATGCTGCTGTAAGAATTCAAACTTCCCCAGATTGCACATTAGAAGATAAAAAGAGCCTGCTGGATCAGGACAACAGCTCATCTCCCAGTGGCCAACCAGATGCCTATGAAAAGCCCAAAAGCATAACCTGAGTGCACTAGCGCTCTCTCCACTAAGGGGGACATTGCCACGATGGCTATCGCTGCATGCAGATGATAGGGTATTTGCCACGCACGTTTACTGTTGAGTAACCTTGCAAGAAGCTATGCAACAACCTTTGCTGGTCACCCAGGGCAACCCGCCAATTCAGGATGGGAAGTCTGTCACACCCGCAGGTGGCAAGCCATATGGCAGCTTGAGCCCATAGTCCCACCATGAGATTAGCATTAATCAAATGAAAGTCACATTGCAACTCAAGGACTCTAATTATTTATTTAAAGATGTTTTAACCTCTACGTCCATGAGGTTGGCACAGAGCTAGCAGTGTCACTCCAGATTTTTAGGGTCCCTCTCTGTGAGCCCATCACTTTGCTGCTGTCAATTCTGTCATTTGCCTGCCCATACTCTTGCCCAGAAAGAGAGGGCAAAGCAAGGAGGAGGAGAGAGGTGGAACAGAGGAGTCCGAACCCCAATGGTTGCAGAGGAAGTCACTGGTGGAGCGCGAAAGATGACGAATAGCAAACTTATAAAGTTTCTGCTCCATGGTCTCACCCAGATTCGGAGGCACTGATACATCTCCTTGCCAAATGTGCAAGGGACCAGGTACATGTGCACTGGTATAGCTCCCTGTCAAGGGCGCAAGGGAGCCTAGGTATACCTCTGCTCATCCCTACTCTAGGGATTAGTCAAATGTGGGATAAGCACCCTCCTATAACTAACATTTTAAGTCTAATTAATGCAAGAAGGGGTTAAGACCACAGAGTAAGCTGTCCTGCCAGGCTTAACTCATCTTGGGAGGGACAATCAAGACTTTGTTCCTCTTCAGTGTACTGGATGAACTCAGCATGTGAAGAGGCCAAGATGGTTGTTCCAGATTAGCTGCATGGCTCTCACAAGCCATTCTTGGGTTCCTATACCAATAATTTATGAACTTCCACCATCTTGGAACTAAACTAAGTCTTACTGCCTGTGCAACTTTTCTGACTGATGTATAAAAAAAGCACATGAACCTGACCTTTGAAGAGTGTAAGTAAACCAATTTTAAACTTACCAAATGTGTGGTCTTTTCCTACGCTGGGTGAAGAGGGAAATTTTGGAATTCAGAAAGGCATATTTAAAAGGTCTAACAACCTATACTTCTATGTTTTACTTTGCTGCGTATTTTGTGATTTTAAATCTCTGCTGGGGTTCTTTGATCAAAAAGTACTTGCCCCAAACTCGGATCTTGGCATCCAGGAATTCTTCTTTATACTGCCCCTTGAGCCTTCATAATACGGCTGATGATCATGATGATTATAAATGGTAACACCTAGTTTTAGCCTGTTTTGTGGCTGTGTTGATAGGAAGTGCAGAGATCTAAATTCTAATCCTGCTTTCTCTCCCCCTCCACCTCCCAACCTTTGCATGAAGTTTGTAACTTTAAAAAAAAAGGGGGGGGAGAGGGAGTTCAGAGCATATACTGTGAATGCAGAAGGTCTCAAGTTCAATCTAAGCATCTTTAGCTCCAAAGCCTTTCAGGTAACAGAACTACCTTCTGCTTCTAAAGCATGTGGTTTGCCACTGAGTTATGACTCATTGGCTAGAAGGCTCAGTGGCCTCACGGTAGAAGGCAGTGCCATAAGCTACTTTTACTGTTCTTCTCTGTGAAGAACTGAAAGCCTAAATATTCCAGTGCCCATAATATTCAAAGCAATAAAATAATTATTTGGAACCCACAGATGCGCAGTGACCTGAAGCAAGTAGAGGCTGCTGCTTTAGGCGGCAGGTTTTGGATGCCACTTGGGGGTGGGGGAGGTGAGGAGAAATCTGATTTGTGGCAGAGTCTGCTGTGACATTCTCTCAATTGAGCCACATACAGACAAACAGGAGCTGAGAAAGGGCACAGTTGTGAGTGAATGAATGCACAGGTCCCATTGGTTTAATGATGGTTGTACAGGGGAACATCTAAGAAGGTTGTGGCCCATGTTAATTAAAGAAAGAGAGTGGGGCTTGTCATGGGATTATTCATGTTGGGTATCAAAATATCTGATGCTGGCTCTTTTGGGATCGCTTGTGAAACTCAAGTAACATGCCAACACTTATCTGTATCAAGTTGCTACTGAAACTATGTGGACGGAGTTTTCTGCTTTCCAAGCAACGAAAAAGACGACTGACTTTGGGACTTAGGCTGAAATCCTACACCCACATACTTGGGTATAAGCCCCATAGGATTAACTTTTGAGTATAGGCCTGCACTGTTATTTACTTAGCAATCCACTGTCAATATCTCATTGAAATGAATGAAGCTAGGCTGTGTCCATTAGCTATAATTAAAAGCCTATTGAAACCTATTTCTAGCACCAGGATTCTATAATGGAAAATTTCAAGCAAAGTCTAGAATCAACCAAAAGGATGGTAAACAGGATAAAACATAAAAATAAAAAGCAACAGAAGCATATTTAAACACATAACACAGATGGGCATAAATGCATAATGGATTTCCAGTTACAGAACTTGGGATTCTGGTTGAAATTTAGTACAGGATTATTATGCTTGATCCTGCAAGCATCTGGGGGTGGGAAGGAGACTCATTTGACACAATTTAAACCTTTTGCACCAAATATGGAAGCCAAATTTCAGTGACTGAAATTCAGTAATAAAACTGGCTAATTTATGTTTCTCACTCTAAATCAGGAAGAGGTTCAATATGAGAAATAATATGTTCTGTGTCATGTACTTTGATATTTTTTGTAGTTT